CGGAAGTAAACCGAGCAACAACGAACACAACTAACTCATTCAAGTCCAAATGCGAGTGTCTAAATAAGTCGCTGAATGCCCGCTTGATTCCAGCTACTTGTCCGGATTATATGGGATTTGATATGGCACATGGTCGGGTGTAAATGTGTGTGGAGATATAGTCGGATCGGATACACAGTCCTCAGTGCTCAGCCACTTGAACCGCGCTTATTTGCCTGAATTGTCCTGGAAGGGCGATGCTCTAAGGTTCCACTTAAATCGGGAGACATGTATCTCCTTTTTAATAAAATAATCGGGCTTGCCTTGCATTATAATATCTTGAAGATAAGCTTCAGATATTGATTGGACCATTATAAATAACTGTCTTAGCTATACAATTTCAATGGTTTAAGGAACCCAGAAAATGATGTAATGAAATTTAAACATCTGTATACCAAAACAGTCTGACTAAAAAGAATTTCAAGACTCGGCGCAACTCACTATACAGTTTGCTAATTGCGTTTAGTCACCGAAGAATTCTCCAGAACTCTGACGTCCCTTCGCGTTTATTCAGATTAGAGAAAGGCGCCGTTTTTGATAGTTCCCCGAATGGGAAGTAGGATTTGCACATTTGCAGATTGAGTCACGGGCGAACTATGAACCACCGCCGATGACCAGCTCCGTATCCATATGCAAATAACGCCAGAAACAAGGCCGATAAAGCGGTTCTACTTAGTCACTTTCGGGAAACACTCGATGAGTGCATCTGAAGGACCGCGGCGATCAACGACCGACCGATTAGGAGCGTATATATAGTCCGTGAATAAGTATGGAAGTATGGAAATCGCCAGAACTTACAGAGAACTATGACGCACAGACCGGGACTATATATCCATATATCTGTGTAACTGTGCAGGGCCTGGTCTTTTACGAGTTGATATTATTATTGGAGATGCGGCGGCGATAAAATTGCAAAACAACTACTGCCCAGAAGGGAAAGAGCCGTGGAAATCGCAGCTGAAAAAAATCAACAGCCAAATGACGCACAAAAACTTTACAAGGTTGTCTGCTGCGGCAATGTAAAGGGGCGGTGGGAGGTGGGCGCTGGGCGGTGGGAGGCCAATGTGTACGTCATCGAGAGCTGAATGAAATCGAAATTGGCTCGGGCCATTTTACGTCAGAGCCAAACAAAAAAAGAAGCGAGAAGAAAACTAAACGATTTCCAGCCACTGCCGCGATTTCCTCTCAGATCTCAGATCTCAGGTCTTGTTAATATTTGTTTGGCCGCGTATTTAGATTGCGATTATTTATGCCGCTCGATGACGTTCGATTGTAAAAGACTTTGGCCAGCGCCTTAATTGCGCCAACTGTGCGCCTAATTATGGCAGACACTGTGGCAGAGTTATACAGCCGAATGGCCATACGGAATATAGCTGGCAAAAAGGAAAGATCCGTCGCGGCATTTATAAATAAATGGTTGTCTATACGAAAATAACTAAACGGATCATTATCGTCGGACATGTGCGACAGCGTCTGGTCAATTAAAAGCCATAAAATGTCATAAAGCATCTGAGATATAGGGTGTCTCTAAAATACTTTTTATCAAGGAGGTAAACAGTCGGAATCGTTCTTTTTGGTTACCAGGCGTATACTTAATATTTCCCAACTTTATTTTTATGAAATTCATTTTTTCATTCATCATTTTTAAATTTAAATTTATGAAAAAATGAAGTAAAGAGTTCTTTAAAAGTGTATTAAAAAAGTGTTGGTTTTGGGTAGCGGATACTTGATATTTTAAAATCTTCAAATAAAAATAACAAAGGATAAATCTAATAAATCGACAAATATATGTAATATTTAAAAACATATTAAAAAAGAAAGTTTATTTATTCTTTTGAGCAACCCACTTTAAATTTAATATCATTTTCTTACTAAAAGTCTTGTCATTTACATTTGTATTTTATTTTTGAAGTGAAAGTAACTTGCTAATTGGAGGCTTGGCTAACCATTCCTGCCCAACCAATTTGTAGTTAAACCCTTAATTTCTCCGCCATTATGGTTTGGTTCCCACAAACGAAACGAAATATTCGCGTCAAGCCGAATCGATCAATCACGAATATGGGAATATGGAGCATGTGGCTGAGCGTTTAACTTAATTTTACACCCTGAAAACTTAAATATTTTAATTCTTGCCTCGTGTTTTTTAATCTGCAGCAAAAGATCGGTTGTTCGCGGATTTGGGTTATGCGATTGGGATCAGATTCAGCGACGAATGAATGATAAATGCGTAACACTCAAACTGGTTCAATTTTGTGAATACTTTGATCTTGTTACCGCTGTTGTTGTTGTTGTTGCCCTGCCACGGGCTGTGCCAATCTTAATTGCGCATTTAAATTTAATAGAAAGACAGAAACTACAAAAAAGAAAAAACTTCAACACAACAATAACTATAAACACAGATACACATGGCGACCCGTTTGTCAGTTCAGTTCAGTTCAGTTGATTCCGTCGATGCGAACTTGAGGCTCGAAAAAGGCGCCTCCAAGTAGAGCAATAACAATAACAACTAAAAACCATTCAGAACTGGGTATGGGTATGGGTATGGGCATGGGTACACCCCCGGCCCCACGAAATCTCGAGAAGCCCCGAAAAACCCCTTCCGAAAAACTATTTCATGTGTGCCCATCTGTATCTGTATCTGTCGGCTCTGTATTGAAGCTGCGCATATTGCGCCTTGGTTATTTATTGTGTACTATACGGCATGGACAATACGCAAAGGGGCTGCAAACTTATTTTGCGCACTAGTTTTTCCGCTCACCAAATTACCGCGGCGCTTTGGCAACCCTAATGGGTTTCAAATTACCCGAAGCACACAAAAAATATTAATAATACTCGTTATAATGATCAATTATTGAATTAGGTAAATTCATTTAAAAGCGCTCGATCTGCGGTAACTGGGTTGCAGTAGTTTTTTTAATGCCAAAGTTACAACCAACCTATTATTATGATACAATATTTTTTAAGGCGATAATGTTTAGTGTAAGCTTCTAAACATTTTCAATAAATGTCTTCAAAAATTTATGAAAAGTTTTTTAAAAATGAAGTTAAAATGACAAAATGGTGCATAAAATAAAATGTCTTACTTCTTATTTATTTTTTTAAATTAAAAATTGCATTTTTGAATTAATAAATTGTGGTTGCCTTGCAAGATATTTAAGGATGTAGGCTTTAGCGAAGTTTGCCTGTAAATGAATTCCCCCGAATAACAGTAAATGCCAGTCTGGCAACGCTGCGTGAAGAGAGCAAGCAAACGGAAAGAGAATTTTCGGTTGCGTATACTTAATATTTTGTGGTGCGCAAAAAAGTCTCACGAAATGAAGGCTTTCAGGACACATGGCTGCGCCGCCGGCGTCGCAGTCGCTCTTCTTGTTTTTCATTCTTCATTTTTTTTGAGGACTTGCAGTGGAACAGCTGTTTTGTGTTATGGCAAACAGCTGTTCGTGCTGCACTCACTCACGCACACTCACACGCGTGCACTGCACATTTTCCCACACGTAATAATGAAATAAAACATTTTTAAACAAATTGCATTCAATACTTACAAACAAAGGCCATTAGACGGTGATTATATAAGCACTAGACTGCCAGCCCTGACAACTGAGTGAGATGGCGATGGTGATGGTGTTGGTGTTGGTGTGCCTGTTGGTGTGTGTTGGAGAGTGTTTTTTAGTGTGCGTTGTTGAGTCTTGGTGTGTTGGTGTAGCTCTGTTGGTGTGTTTTTTAATTTTTTTCGTTTTCCATTCGCTGGTGTTGGTGTGCGTGTGTGCCAGTTTAGTTAAATGCTGAGCATACGCACTGAAATATAAAAACAACAACAACACCAACAGCTACAACAACTACAACAACAACAAGGCTGGGCAGATAGGCAAGTTTGCCTTTTAGTTGTTTCTGTAGTTTACTTTGTTGTTTTATTTGTCGACAGCGGTCTGACTGGCTAGCTCTGGTCTGGTCCCCGCCCCCTCGTAGCCCCCTTGCCCCCCTCCGCCGTCCCTGGCTATATGTCGTATCTAAAACATTTGCGCTTTAAATAAATACACAGAGGGTATTATAAAAAGGCAAAAGAAACGAGGAAAACTAGTCGCGTAGAAAAAACAGCAAGAGCAACAACGACAAATTAGTTCAATGCACGCCGCCAAAAGAGTGTGTTTATAGAGGGCTTATCACCTCTCGACGGTCTATAAGGCCCACACCTCTTTTATGGGGTGTTTGTTTTGATTTCTCCTATATCTCGGGATCTTCTAGGGCTGACGTTCATTGATGTATTCGTACATCGGGCAGCCTAGGGCACAATTTCATTCATCATCATTGCCATCGCCTTAATCATCATCAGCGGTCGTAGTCTCGTTGTCACTGGTACAAAGTTCATATATATGTACATGCAATCAAATAAAATTTTTTTGATTGTATAAGTTCACAGTTTCTTTGTGCGCCATTTTTTGTTCTTTCCAAATACATACATATGTATGCCTTTTCGGGTTCTTTATTTGAAATGTATTTAGTGTTTTTTTTTTGTATTTACTTTTCCGCTTCTAATTTTAATTATTCAGTTGCGAGGCTCAAAAGTCGCGAGCGAGTTTGTTTTTAATTCTTGTTGTTGTCGCGTTTTTTGTTGTTGCTCCCCTAGTTGTGTTTCTCTTTTTTTTGTGCTTTGTTAAATACGTCGTTTAAGTTGCTCTTGGCTGGCTTGCTTTGTTTTCTTTGCAACTGCGTCGCAAAAAAGTTGCAAATTTTTTTTTCGTTTTTTTGTGTTGCTTGAAGCTAATTAATAATTGGGTACACTACACTGGTTTTGAAACACTTTGAGTTCTTAAAGATTTTAAATCAAAGGAATTCCGGTACGTTTACAGTTACTCTACTCAAAACCCTCCAGACAGTGTGACCAGACGACAGTCCTATTCCGCTACTCCACATCCACAGCCACACTCTGCAACCACACTCCACAAGCACACTCCACACTCTATAATTCCCAAGTGCTGAGTCCGGCTCACCGCCTCCTCCTTCTTTTCGTTGGCGCTGTCGGTGACGTACTGAAACAAATGCCTCACGAAACTTTAGTTTGCGGCGGAATCAACGACACACCAACACCAGTGGGCAGTTCACACGGACGCGGGTACTCAGCTACGAGGCACACAGATACTGGGACACAGCAACAAGTATGAATGAACGAGCGGTCGCCGCCGCCTCTGCCGACGCCTCAGCCGGCGTCGCCTGTAAGTGTGAGTTTGCATGTAATGGTTAACGCCACACAATCGGGGGACTCGGAATCGGCATCGGGGGCCTTCGGAGGGGGGGTGGAATCTAAAATTTTTTAGCCCGCTCTGTCTGCTTTCGTTGTTGCTGTTGTTGCTCCTCTGTGTTCTGAACAACATAGCAAACAAACCTCGCACACACACTCGCCCAGATACTCTCTCTATCCCGCTCTCGCAGCCATCAAAAGCCTAGCTGTTCGATTGCATTGGTGTGCGTGAGCGGCGTCTAAGCACAGCGAGAAATTTTCATTAACGAAACGATCGAAAGCAAAATGGCGGATTTTGCAAAAGCAATCATAACGGATATTCGCACGGTATGGTATGGAAATTGGGGATCCCAGTTTTTCAAAAAGGTCTCAACTTATTTACATGCACTACAGAGTTACATTTGCTCACCCACTTTTAGTTTAAATAAATCTTTCCGCACATTCAACTCCTTTAAGACTTATACTGGGGTTTCGTTGCTCTTAACATCAAAACATTTAATATAAACTCATTATAATTTAAGTATTTTTATAGGTCGGTAGGGATTGTGTTATTGGAGAACATCAAGAAACATAATAATAAAAATATTCGTATTGTAAATCGAGTATAAGAATTGCCACTTCTTTTAGGGGTTTCTAAAAATGTTTCTAATCGGTTAATAGCAGCAGTACTTTGACATTGTGTGATCTACAAGAAGTAGATCAGTGCTAAATATATCTAAACTACATAGATCTGACGTTTATTAATCCTACCGTTTAGCAGACCATAGTGCATGTTCATGTACAAAAGCATTTACACTCTAAGCAAACAACAATTAGTATTAAATGCTACTATTAATAAGCGTAAAACGAGTTTATTTTTATTGATATCAGCATTGTAAATTGTGCTGGCATGTGAGAAAGGCTAACTGGAATCGATTCAAGGCGTTTCTTATGGTTGTACTGTGTCTTATGCGATGAAAACGACAACAGAAAAGAAGATTTATAAATATGTTAGGACTAATTAAATGCAATTAAATTGGAATTGAATGCAATTCAAGATGAAATGAGTAACGTTGATTAGAATATGTCTGGAATCAATTAAATTGCACTCAAGGCAAGTTTGTTGTGAGGATATTAGGTAAAACCTTCCGTTCCAAAATCATTAAATCGATTTTTTTGCCAGCAAGCCCAAGCTGTACTTGAACCCGCACCTCTGCCGGCCGAACTTTACCCACTTTGCGCTCAGTGTAAAGATTCACACACATACGCACACGATCAAAAAGCAGCAACAAAAAGGCCCAAAAGAAATCCGACAAAAAAGAAGAAGAACAAATTCCTGTGGCAGAGGCGCGCGTATGGGGAATATTTCGGGGGTACGAGGGATTGGGATTGGGGATTGGAATTGGGGCTTGGGAACGGGGGATTGGGGGTCTGGGGGACTTGGAGAGCTAGTTACGCACACTGTGAAGATACAGATACAGAACCAGTCAGTGTGCCATATGAAATATGTAACATCAAGCTCATATCACAAGCAAGCGACAGCGACGTTGGCAACTCACCGACACAGAGATACAGATACAGATACGGATACTACTTCTTGTGCTGGTGGTGGTGCGAGAGGGCTCTCTCTGTGCGTGTGTGAGTGCCATGGGGGCAATAATTTCTTCTAGAAAATGAATTTCAGATCAAATCATATGTCACCCACCCTTCATGGCTGTTTAATGAAAATAATTACAAATTAAAACCCTAAGTTGGCCCCTTAAATTACTTGTTAAGATTCCATTTCGGAGGAGAAGAATTCTTCTGAGCCCGCAATTCGGCTTGATAGTCTCTCCCCTTCGCTGCCCAATTATGAATTTGATCCTAAATGCTTCGAGTTAATTAAACGCCTTAATAATAGTCCACGTGCTACTGCTGACGTAAGGGTCGTCAGCAGTAATACGACAACTCATAGGGGCGTGCACAACATCCAATACCAGTCCAAATAAATACAAAATAAATAAAAAACGCCACACACGGATACTTTGTTGTGCCTCGGTATTTCACTTATTTTTTCGGAGCATTTCTCACGCACACCAGCAAACAGCCAAGACTCTCGCAAGGGAAAAAATATTTGCAAAATTTCTACGCCTTATATATATTAATTAATAACGGAACCCTTTAAATAAGCCCCCAAGTTGAGACCACAAACTATCTTTAGTCGATACCTGAACCAATTAAGGAAGGATTAGGAGCCTTTTCTTCTTAGGACTGTACCCCCACCCAAAATTCTTGTTCGAGAGCGCATCACGTGGTCACCCACCCCAACCACCCCACACATCCCCCGAACCCCCCAAAAAACAGCAATCCTCTCACACACAAACACACTCAAAAATGCCCACAATCGCACAAGAGAGGCACCCGAAATTAGCAATAATCTCGCCAAGAGCGAAACTCAAGCAAAAAAAATAATATATAAAATTAACAACAAAAACAAAATACAACAATGAAGAGACCGAAAAACAAAATGGCTGTCAGGTGTAGAAATTTCTGCGGACGTGTTTAGTTCCAGTTCCAAAAAATTCCGGCCATTTTGTCGCCCATTGCATTTGCATAATAAACTGCTCGAATTACACACAAATCGGAAGTGTAAATATGCACACTATATCTGCATTATTGTGTATGTTGTCTATATGGCAGGCGCCTTCAAAATGGCGCCTGTCCAGAATGGCGCCGATTTTATTTGTAACTCAGCCCTATAATATCATTTTCCCCATATCCGTTTGATACTCGATCGCCGATGAACTTGAAGCACTACTCGATATTATCAACAATAAAGATGTCCCAAGCAGCCATTGTTGATAAACAGTAAGGGAAGCCAGTGGAAGAAAGGAAAATTGAAACATATCAATGTTTTCTTATTAAATTTACTTTGATTCCATTTTTTTATTATTTTAGATTTCCGATAATTTGCTTTTAAACTACAATCACTTCATGTTATCTTCAAAGGAATGAAATTTGAGAACCATACAATTTCATTAAATTTTTCCTTGGTGAACAGGTAATCCTGAATGTTTTCTATTAATCTCCAAAATGCCATTATGCTTGCACACCTTAAGTTTTATAGCAAAGAATTTCTTTCAATACCAGAAGATACATTGTGTATATTGCCAAAATTACAATAATATACTACATCCAATACTTTAAGATACTTCTTAAGTGATTTTACAATATGCGCATTAATTTTCCTACTTTTCAATTAATACGCATTAGATTTTTTAATGGTTGCTGTTTCTTTGCTTTAAAAAAAAAAGTTTTAAGTTTCCTTGAGTATCTAAGGATTTAATTTAATATACTTTAAATACTTGTAAATTTATCATACATCCTGAAGTTCAATTGAGGGTTGGAACCCTCGTAATAAAATGAATTGAGCTCCATTTTTAATTTAAACTTTCAGTGGTATATAATATAACGTTATTTGTGTTTCTCAGTGCTTAATCATTTCATTATTTTCTTCTAGAATATTTACTCTTATCATAGCTTTTGGGCGTCCAAAAAACATGGAAAGCGCCACCAAGACGCATTCAAAGTGCCTTAATTAGTCAAAAAGTGGTCTGATTGAGCTGAATGTGTCGCAAGTTGGCCGCATAGTTACAACGATTAGACATTTAATCAAATTTGACCCGAATAATTGGCATTCGGCGGCTATTGGGCTGCACGTACACCTCGTTTGTATCCGAATCCAAGAGATTCGACGGGCGACAGCCTCCATTAAAATGCCCCACTAACTGCATTCCAAGAATTTACAAGTCAAAGATCGAATGTGCGCCGCTCAAACGATAGTGCCCCGCCCCCTAAGCCCCCAGCCCCTCCAGCCCCCTTAACCCCCATGAGGCACCCCTTAACCCCCCGGGTGCCCATCAGCATCATCAATAGCCAGATGCATTGTGTTTCTCGAGCGGAGACTGTGGGTCCAGGGCCACCGCCAGCGATCAGCAGACAACAAAGACTCAAATTGAATAAATAAAGCGCAAGATTTATGCATACGAAATTAATAAATTGAAATATATGTACAATAAGTATTAGGCGCCAACAATGAGCTGAAATGCATCGGGCATTTAATTTTTATACCCACCCATCTCCATCTCCACCGCCCGGTTGGAGTTTATCAGTGGGCCACGGCCCGAAAACAGAAAGACCGAAACTGAAACCGAAAAAACAACAGGGGAGATTAACATTAACACACGCACAACTACAGTGCGAGAAACCAGATATGAATTATGTGCGATAAGAGCCAGAGTGCAGTGGTGTCAAAAAACAAGAATGGAATGGTTAGGGCTCGAAGACCGCCACTGCACCGCACACTGGAATACCCTGGGTGATCTATGTCGCAGGTGCCGATGGGCTTGCGGTCGTGGTAAGTCAGGATTTTATTTATACCAAGGTTTCAGAGGAGTGCACTTTCTTAAAAAGCCACCCAGTGCTTAAAACTTAATTAGAGACAAAAGGACAACAGAAATATCTATTAATACCATACCAGGACATAATCTCGGGTAAGTCTGTTAGAGAATACTGAAGTCTCTAAAGGACTTTTAACCTTAAAAGTTTATTTAGGAAAGTCCTATATTTATTAACTTTTCTTTTATAAGGTTGCCAATATAAGGGATAAATACATTCTTAGGGTTTCTTGAAGATTAATGGAGAGTGGGAATTTTAGAAATACTATTTCGATTCAAGATGACATCTTTGGAGTCCCTTTAAGCAAACTAATTCCTAACTTCATGGAACTTCAGAATACCGAATGAATTACCTTAATAAGAAATCTGAGCCTTACATACTTGGTTTTTCCAGGATCACTTTCTTCAATAGATGGTCCTAGGGTTTATGCCCACTTCATAAAGAGTATTCCGAATAAGAACTCTGAGCAGGGTGATGAAATGCGCGGCGGAGTGTCGGCGGTGCAGCGTGCAGAGTCGGCTGCATATAATATGAGTACTATGCTATAAGCCAGACCAGATCCGATCAGCCGGCGTCTGCGTCGGCGGAGGCAGAGGCAGCGACGGCAACTGCGACTGCGACTGCAACTGCGGCAAGTTTTATGAATGAACGAGTGCAACTGCAACGAAAAGAGACGGGTAGAAACTTGGGGAGCTTGTGAATGGCAACGCGAGATCGAACTATTGTAATTACTACGAGATTATGCAAAATGCATATGCAATTAGTGGCAACTCCCCCTCCATCCACCCCTTCATCTTGCTACTTCTGAGTCATGGGGCAACTGGTTTGACTTGACTGGCGGCCTGAGAACCTAAAACCGAACAACTGAACACTGAACACCGAACACGCCGAGAACAAGTACAACTGTTGGTAGTCGCACTCAGTACTCAGTACTCCAATATGAACTCATGTGATTGGAATTTCTGTGCCGTTGCCGATGACGAACCACCGACCAATCGCACAGAAGCTCTAGAAGATTGTGCAATTGTGCCCCAACCTGTTTGCCACTTTGTAGCACCGAGTATTCTCCAATCTCCGAGATGCAGATGCAGATGCACTTGCTGCGAGTCGAGGCGAGTCGAAACGAATCAAATCGAGTCGAATGGAATGGAATCACATACATAAATCCGACAACGGGCCATAGCCATTGTCCCTCGTTTGTCCAACATGCACATTCCATTCTTTGAAAAGCGATCAATGCCAAGTCAATAATGAAACGATGCCGATCCAAAGCGATCCGATGCGGAGAAGAATATAAATTTCTGGCCTATCAGTTGGCTCCGTAAAAGAGGGTACCGAAACACTGAAACACTGATAATAATGTCGCCTGCGAGAAATTCCTTTAGCGGCATTTAGGGCCACTTAATTATGACCCCCCCGCGTGCCCTCGCTCCGAAAGTAAAGAAGAGCCCAATCCTAAATTCCTGGAATTTCGACTTTGACTCTTGGTAAATAACCAACTGCTGTATTTGTTCATGCGCTGGCCCTTCACTCGGAGAAAATAGGGCATGCATTTCGAGAAATGCATTGGGAATGCATTTTTAGAGAGCTATCAGGGGAAGGTATGCACAAGCTAATAGCAAGTAAAAGAAGAACCTGACTTGAAGCTTAGGTTTTGAAAGGGTTGTTGGATACATTTCGGTGTTTAATGAATGTGGTTTATTGATGTACTCTAATCCAAATAAATTAATTATTGAATAAACACGCAAAATGATTTTTCAATTCTTTAAGTATTTTCTTTAAGGATGGCATTATTAAAAACAATAATATTCTTAGAAAGTATAAAGATCCTGTATTCTCCAAATAATTTTTTAAAAAAATTAGGGATTAAGAAAAGCTAAGGTATATATTTACAAACCAACTTTAGTAGAAAAAATTAATTTATCCAAAAATTAAAAATGAAATATATTTTTCAGTCCCCAAAATAGATAACAAAGTAAATTAAATAAGGAAAGGCGGCTACTAAGTATTTCGTATGACATATGAATTAGGAGGAATTTGAGGGCTAAGCTGTTCCTATTTTATTCGAGTGCTTACCCCCCTCCTCATTTCAGATCTGCTGGTTACCCTGGGTTTCTTAAGGCCTAAACTATGATTGTCCACGAAATTGGCAAGGCGAAAAGGTGCTCCAACATCATAATCCTGGGGATCCGGAGATGGCAGGCCAGTTCGAGGCTCTGGGAGACTTGGTTCGATGAACCAATTAGATCAAACAACTTACACCACACCACGTACACACACACACACCTTTACTGGGTGCAACAATACAACAACAGAGGAGAAGACTGCGAGAACAACAAAAAAGAATTCTTTACGAGCCTCGCTCCGGTGCACGGTCATCAAGTCAGCTCGTTCAACATTCAAGAGGCATCGATGATAATATTCATTCATTTGATCAAACCGCCGACGATGTCGACGGACGGAGATGCAGACGACGATGGAGACGACTTTCATTATGGGCCTGGGTCTGCAAGCCTCAACGTGCCCCTGCAGTTCCCCCATCTGAACTCCCTGCTCCCATCATCATCAACCTCCTTCTACTGGGAGGCCGCCCAAAACCAAAACCAGGCAGTCCAAAACCAAAGTCAAGAACGGCGGGGGAAGTACAAAAACATATTGCCAAAGTAGCAGCAACAGCAAAAGCAACTACGGCAACATCATCGGCCAACAACAGCAACACGAAGAATCTCAACAGCAGCATTATGCATCATTACACTGACAGAAAAATAGGGAAAGCGAGTGCCACAAGAGGATTTCGAAAAAATATAAAGGACACTAAAGATCAGTAATTGAAACAAATGGGTATAACATGAATACTGATGTGTAGATTATAGAGCTTATGAAAGATTTTACCTACATAATTCTGTTAGTAAACATATTCCCTAGAAATATTTTTGTGATACACATTATCCTATGTTTTAAGATCGTTTTACTTGTGGTAACAACCCTATATCCATATAACCCTATAACCTATCAATTACCTTCATTGTACTTAATTGATACTTGTACTTATTTGTAGGCATTAAAATTGATGAGGAAAGGAAATTTGTGGAACGGTTTAGATTATATATACCGTCCTTTAATTAGGTTTTTCCGATGTAACACCATTAAAGATTTGTACAATCTCCTATATCTTAAATTGAGTTGATATTAAGTAAACATTTTCAGGATATAATTTCATCCCAATTGTCCTTCTTCATCAATTAAATGCTTAACTTTTTCTAGCAGTGCACTCAATCGACACATTCACTTATAGGTCTCAAAATCGATGAGAAAAAGAAATATGTTGAACGGGTGGTGGCGGTGGCGGCGTTCGCTTGTAGCACGGCTCAAAACTGCTGTCCGTTGTCCGGTTGTCCGTTTGTCCGCCGTCCGTCGATCGTCCGCTCACACACACACCGACACACGGACACGGACACACCTCCACACACTCAGCACACGCACCCAAAAGTGCATGTGTATGCAGACGAAGCCAAGACCTCTTTTTAATGTATTGCAATTCCAAGAATTTAGGAAGAGGAACGTGAGAAACTTTGTTTTTGTTATTTTCTTTTCTTTGCATTTCATTTCAAGATACGATGCCGATCTCTGACTCCCTGCCCCGCCCCTTTCGCCCTCGCCCACTGGCGGTGTTTACGTCTCGAACGTCCAGGTTTCATGGCTCTTCAGCGGTGCTGATAGCCTGGCTATCAAAAATGGCTTATTTTTAGGGTTTTGGGTTAGATTTCGAGAATATCCTTTAGGGTTTTTAGATCCCAAGCTTGGACAACCGAAATCCTGTAGAATGTATCCGCGTTAGATGCCCATCCCACTTAATGCACTTTTCAGTAAATTCATAAATTGCATTAAAAATAGATTCACCTAACCCAAAATGCATTCTTCACACATTGCAAACCGAAATACACAAGCGGACTTATATATCTTCAAACAAATGTTTACCAATAAAATACATTTTTCAACTGCTATTAATGGAGATGATCTTGCTGGTATACTTCCCAAAATAGACCCCACACTTTTGTTTAAATATTGTTTTCCAAATTTTAAGAATTACCGAATGTTTGCCAAAATAGGTTTTCCAAAATTAGTAAACCATCATCCTGATTTTAGAAGGTCACAAATTGTTAAGATATATTTGGTATTGCCTGGTATTATTTCAGGATCCTGGACTTAGTGCAGATTTTCAAATGAATTTATCTAAAAATAGTATTTAGGATAAAGGACTTATACCATACTACTTTTAGAGTTTGTAAAATTTTTCAGGACCATTGTTTTAAAAAGTATTACTATACATTTTATAGATACGAAACCATTTTCTGATCTAATTGGCTCCAAATTTTAAGAGTGGTATACCTTTTTTAGGACCTTCTTCGTGGACCTTGAGATAACCACTTTTGATCTGGCTTTTTTCGGTGGTCCCAAGTGGGCACCTCTGGAGGCCCAGGCTTTCGTATCCATAAGTCACCGAGGCGTCTTCGTCGTCGACTTCGTCTTGGTCTTCGGTGGACGTCGCTGCCTCTGTTGGCGTTGCAGTTTGCAGTTTGCAGAATGCCCCAGACCCAGACATTCATATTGTATACACTTAAGATTCTTTGTGGAATTTCGGTGCAGAGGAGTTTCGCGAGGGGGGTGGTGGGTGGTAAGTGGTGAGTGGGCCAGGCGCGTGGTAGTATGTGTTCGATGGCTGAGTGTTTGAGTGCTCGAGTGTCTCTGTGCGAGTGCAGACTTGGCTAATAAAGCCGGCGACAGGAGAAAGCCAAATTCCAAGAGCACAACATTGTAGCACTTGGGTGGTGCCGAGGTAAACAACAGTTCCTGGACCGAAAGGGGGGCCAAAAGGGGTTCCCCCGGGGCAGGGATCTGCAGATCTCCAGCGGTCTGCATTTAGTTATTCTGTTTGCTCGCCAATCGTTTCCTTTTTGCATTCGCTGCCATTTTCGCCAAGTGTATGCGTGTGTTTTCTGGTGCGTGTGCTGGGCACATTTCTTTTTGGGATGCCGCTGATCGGAACATGGATGTGGCTGTGGTTGTGGATGAGGTTGTGCTTGTGGATGTGGATGTGTGGCTGCCTCCGGAATGTGCATAATTTTTTTTCTTCCTCCGCACCCATTTGTTAGCGACGAGCAAGGATAACCTGAGCTGGAGCACACAATCGGACTTTGTTATCAACAATGACATCTAACTATATCTTAGGGATCCATTAGCTATACCCAAAAAACTCAATTTGGTCTTTACTTAAAATTGTATTGTACGATTAAAAAGAATAAAAATTTCCTTATATTAGTTTTTTTTTTAAACTTATATCCAATTTTACAAGATTTTGTGAATCAGATCCTTCGGGAACGAACATCGCATCATTACCCAGGGTATCCCTCATTCGATCCTTAATCAACCCGCCTCGATCAGCATTCTTGCCGTTTTGGCTTGCTTTTCTTGACTTTTCGTTTTCTTTTTACCTTTTACTGTGTGGCGCAGGGCAGCAGCGACAAAATAGCAGAATCCTGTTGCCATGATCGTTAACAAGATGCCAAGACAACGAGAGGGGGTGGGCTTCAGGGGCGGAGTAAAGGGGGGTTGTTCATGGGGAAGACTGGTGGAGGAATCTGGAATCTGTGGGAGCTTCGAAAATGTTGGCGGCAGCCAAATTAAATAGGCGCAAGCGCTTTGAGTTAGCCACGAGTTGTCCAGAATCCAGAATGGGATTTTCAACTTATGGTTGTTGTTGTTGTTGGAGTGGTTGTTGTTGAATTTTTTTTGGTATTGTTTGTTATTGGTATGTTGTTGCTGTTGTTGTTAAAGTGTTGTTAAGCTGTTGTTGTACCGTTGGTGTATCTTATGGTGTTGTTGTTGAACCGTTTTTGTTGCTGTTTTCGCGAGTTGTTTGAGAGTTGATTGTCCTGTCCCCTCGTGTTTTTGGCCTGGGCTGGCAGGAATGCTGCCTTACGGGTAGAAAGAGAGAAAATCTTCTCACCTGAGAAAGGTGATAAGGTGAGGGGGGTTTCCACAGGGGGAGTGCCGGAACATGCTGCAAGCCAAGGATCGAGATGCGGTTCGTTCTTGTTTTTCTTTTGAATTTCAGCTTTGTGTGCGGATTTTTTTGTTTTTTTTTGGCGGTGTCTGCGGCCAACTACTTGGATCTCACATGTATATGTGAGTACATCCCCGTGATTGGCTATGCACTGAGCAAAATGAGGATTCGAGACTTAGTATGAAGAAGCAGTGATTAAATAAAGGACTCTGCTAAGAGCAATGCCAATTATAATAAAGTATTAAGTTCAGAACGTGATGCTAAGATGTTTTAGTGGACGATGGTATAGGTAGTAAGTGTCAGATTTGAACGAAAAGCAATATTTGAAACTGGTGCTGAAGTACTATCTTTTTTAAGCTAAACATCTGTAAACTTAAATTTATCAGAATATAAACAGGAAGTAATTTTCGAGATCTTGTTTAAAAGCAGATCCCTATCATGTTTAAATACTGTTAGCCATTGGCGGATCCAGAATTTGGTTGTGGGGCGAATATATATTGCTTATACTTATCGAAAGGACATTTAGGTTTGCCTTTAAAGTAGTGTGGAATGTTCCCGATGTTAAATGTCTAACTGTATTTCAATACTATCGACAGGATATTTTCTAGCGCTCTTTTTTGCCAGTGCATGTATGTCGTTTATTATGATTATTTTGTTTGACTGCCTTTGGCCTGTGCAAAAATCCGCACATAATCTGGCAAAACCAGTAGAACAACAACACCAAAGGATGCGGACAGCTCGGCTCATTTATTATGTGTGTGTGAGCCAAGGCGCAAAATCCCTATCCTCACTTACATACCTCTCCGTTCAGTCGGTCCACATCCATAGGGTCCATAGGGTCCAGGGTCCATGAGGTTCACGAGGTCCATGAGGTCCGTCCTTCCATTTCCATCCGTCCGCCTGCCTGGCTTTTTATCTTTTTTGGGATTTCGCCTTTTGTCCTGCTCAACGCATTCGAGTTTTCCCAGAAATGTTAATTATAATACTCACAAACATACATAATTACTCGCATTTCGCATTTCGATGCCCGTAGTTCCCATATCTCCCATATCCTGTTTATGTGGCTCTGGATTTCGTCCGCCGATTGTCCGTTCTCGTTTTTCGCATTGCGTTTATTAATGCGGCAAATAAATTTGCATGCCATGCACATTTTTCGCCGTTCATTAATGCTTCTTGTTTATTTATTTTGAATATTTTTCTGCACTTTTTCAGGGTTTGCGTTGGGATTTGGTCAATGAAAAGGGTTCGGTGCGTGTGAATTATGCAGATAAATAGGGAAAATATCAACGGTGCAATGTGATTAGAGTGACACCTCAAGGATAGCGTTGTGGGTCACTGTGGGTAATTTTTTTCATTTATAATGCTTTAGAAAATTCGTTACGTACCCATTTTCGGCTTACTTATACCTGGTGAAGTTTAAATTACTTCGAGGTTTAATATTAAAATGCTTAGAAACACAATGCTTGTAACATGACATGATTGACGTTCATATTTTAAAGAGTGGTAGGAAAATAATTATTTTAATCGATTGATTGAAATCCTATATGACAATTCCAATGATTGAATTACATTAGTTCTTCGATCGAACTCCTAATCGTAAATATTGAACGCATTTACACATGTTTAAAATTAAAAAACATGTTTAAAAGAGAAAATTATTATTAATCGTCAAAGTTTTTTGTTGAAATGAATATCATTAAAAAAGTTATCTTCATATATTTTTTTTGCTTTCTGTTATTAAAAGCTGAACAATTTTAATTGTTCTTATGTTTTATCGTATCAATTCGATTTGAACGAAATAAAAAATAATTTCGTTTTACTTTTACCATGATAAGCTGTTAATAAAAAATAATAATAAATAATAATATTACTAGATATACTAATTTTATTATATAACTACTGTAATAAGTGGATTAGGCGAACTAATCAAAGAAAATCGAATTTGTTAATCAATAGGTACTCAATATTTAATTGCTTAATTGACATAAAATTGAAAATTGAAAAACAAATGCAAGGCAAAGGCAATAAAATTTAAACAATTTGTTACAACGCAGTTTTTTAAATGTTTAGAAATAAAATCGCCGCCATTATGTTTTTGCCGTCCCTCTCCCCCGACCCTCCGCCTCACCACCCCCTTTTGCTATTTGCTCCCGCTCTCTCCCAAAAACTAGAGAGCGCAAAAAATATATACGAAGCCCTCCCACTCCACCCCGCCCCCAACCCACAAGAAAAAACAACAACAACAGCAAGAATGTCAAAAACTAACAAAAACCTTAACGACGTCTCTCGCACAATCACACATACATGCCTAATGCTAGCGAATAATGCCAATTGATCGCTCCCTCTCTCACACACACACGGGCGCCAATTTATCACCTACTCACTCACACACACACTGCCCCCACAAACCCCAATGCGCATGTGTAGGTGCTCTCTTTCGGGCAGCACACTAACACTAGGAAAATTACTAATCGCCGTGGAGCAAACAGCAACAACACCAATAACAACAAGAGAGCCGATCACGTATTGCGCAGATACGTGAGCGTGAGATTCGAATTTGACGAGTGTGAGGGGGGTTGGGTGGGGGATAGGGGGGAAACTAACGCCACCCTTCCAGCAAAGCGATAATGAACAAGCAAAGCGACAAAGAGCGAGAGAGAGAGAGAGACCGAACGGGAAACCAGTTGCCGTGGCACGTCGAGTCGACCACATTCCAGGCGAAAGAGGTAGAGGTTAGACCTCTCATTTCATTCACAATTTTTAACGTTCAAAACCTTGTTGTATTTGTTGTTTCTGTAGTTCGTGCAGCGCCGTCGGCTGCAGCAGCGGCAGAGGCAGCGACTGCATGTGGGGGCCTCACTTTGGAGTTCCACTGTGCTTCTTTTTTTGCTTTTCCCTGGGATGCTTGGCGCTTGGCATGCGACACCCCGAGAGAAAAAAAGAACGGGGAGAACCAGAAACCCTAAAATAACACTGAATAAGGGAAACGAAACTTGAAATACCCTCGTAAATTGGGGATCTGGCATCGCATTCTTTAGAAAGCTAGAAAGATATTGAAATTTTACCGAAACCTATACTTTAGTCGCACCACTCCTATGACATTTCCGGAATTCTGAACGGAACAGTTATCATTTTTAGGTAATAGATCCCTGAAGATTTCTCAAATGTAAAATATGCTTATTTATTTCCTTTTCAACATATTTTTAGTACTACAATATGTTCGATGCGTTGATGTATTAGGGAAATGAAGACGCCCCAAGAAAAACAGGGGAAACAACAATAAGAAGTGGCGCCCAACACAGAAAGCGAAGAAGCAGCAGCAGCTTAAAGCCGATCAATCGCCATCGATATCGGTCGGCATGCCTTGACTGTTTATCTTTCGTCAGCGCCTTTCAATTCATTCCATTTCCATGTTGCCTTGCAGATAAGAAAACCGTGATAACGCAACGCCGAAGAGGAGCGGAGTGATAAGGAGGCGGGGAGGGGAGGGGCATCCTTGACGGCAAGCGGCATTTCAAATGCCCACAATTTATAACCTGTTTGCCTTAATTTCTTACTCAAATGGCCAGCGAATTACAATAAATTCCTTAACCAGGCATGTAATCGCGTTATCATCATTATTTACAATTATAACAGCAGCACACACACCTTCATAGATGGGAAAGAAGCAGCGAAAGACTTTGGACTGAGTGCACCCGGAGAAATTTCGGAGTACAAAAAGATATCTATAAATTGAACGTCACAATAAAATTATTCGAAAGGCAATCGAAAACCTTAGGATCATTTTCTTGTGGAAAGAGTTCTTGCGGCATTTGAGACTATCTTATAAAGTAGGGGTGGTTTGGGATTGAGCACTGTAACAGATCCAGAGCACTTTTGGATTAATTGCTTTTGGTAGCATACTTTTAGACACCTTTATTGATTGATTTACAAATCCTACTGATTTCCTTGGACCATTTCGCTCTGTCCAGTTATTTTCGATGTATAACTTCTTACTACAATCACCTGCGATTTCTTCAAGTGCTGAGCATAATTTATAGATATGGAGATGCATGGGTATCTCTAAGATAGTTTCGCTTGTCGCCGTGCCGCCTGTGGCATATAGCGTACATTAATAATAATAGCAGCAACAACTTGTACACGAAGCGGACTCGAGAGACTCGAAAGAGTGTGCATACCTACACACACTTCAATGTTACCTAATTAAAGTTTACATGCAGCTTTCAGTCTTCTGTCGCCAGTTATAAAGCTACGGCGGCAACATCAGCAGCATGATTCATTGGAATGCAAAGAATTTTTATATGTTTCTATCTACGTTGATGGCTGTTGGTTTTTACAATTTCAATATGTGTGTGCGATGAATGATTTTGTAACATCTGAAGCAGCAGCGGCGGGAGCAGCAGCAATAATAACAACGGCAACACCAAGAGAAACACCCTAAAAACATCAAGGCAAACACTGTGCATGTGGAATGCAGTAATGGGCCAACCATAACAAAACAACCCAAAAATCGGGGGGCTGGGGCTCCCAATGGGGCTCCGAGGGGGTTCCAAGGGGGGGACAGCCGCCGGACACGACGGACTGCTAGTCAAATAGACAAGTAGGCAGACAGACAAACAATCCAATAGATAGACAAATAAGCTTGGCACTATTTGTATCCGAGAGATACGGATACGAAAGCGAATACGAATACGAATGCCGTGCCACACATCGAGCGAATTATAAACGAATACAAATGGAAATGGGGGAATATCTTCCAATCGAACGGCACTCACTAAGCAGATCAGATTAGAGATCTATCAATGGACCAAAAACCATTATGCGGATAAGGCCCGTGGAGTGGAAGTGGAATTGGAAGCGAATGGAGCACGCAAATGGAGCCCTCACACTTCAGATTGCCAGAGACCCAATTAAAAGATGTTTCATCAGATTGAGTTAGAATCGAAACGGGAACGCGCCAGGATAATTAAATGTGGCACTTAGACCTTTTATAATTGCATAGCAATGAATTATACACTGTTATATTATTTGTTTAAATTAAACATGATAAACTTATTCCTATAAGCAGTGCATCTTAGTTCTGTTTAAGATGTTACTGTGGAATATCAAAGACTTTCGCTTTCACAACAAGGGAATATCGCTCACCACCCATCCCTAACTGTATCACATATATTTTCCCAGAAACCGTTTGCCCCGAAGAAGTTAACGCAATAAAAGTACACAAAATTTATCAGACTTCAATGACCCCGGTATACGCTGATTGAAAACCACTTTCCCCCGGTTGCTTTTCCCATTTCCCAGTCCGTATTTCCCAGGATCAGAATGCCCGGCTCAAGGCTGGCCAACAAATTAGTTCCAAAGGATAAGAAAATATTATGACGATCTCATGAATGGCATTTACAGCCATCGACACTGGGGGACCTGACCCGAATTCCCAGCCTCTTGTGAGAAACAGGAAAATATCTCACGCTGCCTCTCGCTCGCACACACATAGCGCACACAGTATCGATAAGAATTGATTGCATATTTACAGTAATCCCGAAAAGGTCTCCGGGCGATTCCAGGAAGCATCTTTGAGATGCCGCAGCCGAAGAACAGAAACCCAGAAGATCGCTAGGGATCGGTTTTGGGGTTTGCGTTTGGGTTCTGGGTTCTGGTTTTTCGGTTTTGGTCAGGCCTGAAATGTGTCGTCGGGGTATCCGTACTTGTTTGTAATCAACACATCACTTCCCACACTTGACGACGCGGCAATCGATCCTTTGATATTGGCACACCCACACACCACACACATGGCAGACTGTCCCATTCATCCACTGAGAAAAATCAATAGGCGTTGGGATAGTATAAAAGGAATAAAGGGTGATATATTTAGTCTTCTTTGTTATAAATATTGTGTTTAGTAATGATTCAAAAGAGTATTCGTTGTCATTAATATTGGTTTTTTATATTGCTGAACCCATTAAAGATTCGCATTTGTTCTAAGCTTAATAATACCAATATGTTTCATCGTAACCTTCGCCCCATCATTACATCACAATTTCTCCAAGTGCACCCATAACTCGTCCTAATCACTTCACATTTGTATTCATTCTGTAATCTGTGGCACAGGAAGTGATTGTCAGCGAAAATGATTACACGCTGACTAAATCACAAGTGTCCATGGTGGTGGTCGCCCTACTATTCTCGGAAAATCGATTCCGAGCAAAGGAAAACATTGAACGCTGGTGACCAAGTATATGCTGCAGAGGTGCCCAGTGCCGTTCTGCGGAACGACCAAAACAATCCGATCCTATTTCAAATGGCTCGACTCAATGACTTCTACGAATTTCGCAAGGCAGCCGAGCCACTTGCACCACCGAACCACTGGGATGTCGATGTCGCACGCAGGGTTTGCCCAGCGGGTTGGCCAGACTCGGGTCCAGATCGGAGGGCATTATGTGCCCAATTTGTTTGTTGTCGATTCACTTTTTGAAATCGCCGCCTCCGCCTACAATGCAGTCGCAGTCGCCTTATTAATCCCCGTTCCTCCGTACACTTGAGTATTTCGATCTGGTTTTCTTACTTTGTGCGTCTGGCCAATGTCTGTCTTTATCTTTGTGGGAATGCGATTGCGGGGAGTTCCCACTATTCGAAATGCCCCGAAAGAAAGTTCGATTTATAATTGAACAGTCACACAGAACATGTAAACAGTTTAATGTGAAAATTTTGGTTTCCTTTGACACGTCCGTTAAATTAATCAAATACATTTATTAAGATCAATCATAAATTTACAGTTTCTTAAAAATGTAAAATAGTTCCGAGAACCGAAAAGAATTCCACCAGCAAACTGAAACCTTAGCCGTAATTTGCCCTATGAATAGTCAAGATAGACGGCATTCTTGATGCCCCATGAAGTCGCCGAGGTGTCAAGAGTTTAATTTTCAATAATTTCCAATCCAGGGACCTGCCACACCTCCGCCTCGCCCCCTTGCCCCACGTTGGGCGCTGTAAATTGGTTTCGCACCCACCGACAGCGCCAGTTGCCCCTTGCCAGTTGCCAGCCGACTTTGTTGGCCAACTCTTTCTCACATTCTCGGCCAGGTTCAAATCGACTCGACTCGACTCCCTCCCCCGTGTTTGCTCAGCTTTTGAAGTTGCAGCGACAACATCATCACCATCGCCATCGCCATCGCCGCAGCATTGTGCATTGTTGTTATGTTAAGTGCGGCTCAGCCTCAAATCGACGTTCCTCTGGATGGCTGCACAGAGAAAAAGTTTAAGATCTGTTGATAATAAAAATATTAAACTAAATGTGACCTTTTTGTTAAGTAGAGAAATAACAGAAAATCATAAAAGGTTTGACCCCATCTAAAAATGTTTATCAAATTTAGCACATCTTCCCTTGGCATATATCGTAGCATACTTTTTATAAGCCTCGATTATGACGGAATTATATGGGGAATACAGAAAAATGTCATGAAAATCCTTGGGTACCTATTTTTAAGAAGGATTCTATCAAATTACCATTTTTGGGATTATGTTAAATATATGTGTGCGTTTAAGTATAAATGTATTTTACATTTTTCTCTGTGTAACATCTCTGCGTTTTCTGTTTGAGTCCCCGTCTGAGTCCGAGTCTGAGTATAAGTTTAGGTTTGAGTTTAAGTCTGGGTCTGGCTGCATTTGAATATGAAAAACGTCGTGCGTTGTTGTTCTTGCTGTCGTCGCTCATCGTTGGAATGTGAGGAATGCAGTTTTCCCCGCTGAGCTCCACCCCTCTCCCTTCTCTTTTTGGTCTTTGTTATCAGCTGCAGTGCCCTCATCTGCTTCTAATGCCAGATGAAGTTGGTCAGCGGTACACAGTGAGAAAAGAGCTGCAATTTTAAAGAAAATTCCACAGCTATTTAAGGATCACTGGGGCTAGAAATCTTATGAAGGCGTCTGAAAGTATGCAATAATATATTTTAAGTATTTCACTCCATTTCCTAATGTTAAGTATTTAAAATATTTCCCAATCCTTAAGTCAATATTAAATTAGATACCAAGCTCAACTTAAGAATTAAATCGATTTTTAACGCTTTAACTAAATTTCCCTGTTAAATTAACCCTCGGTGTGGGGAGTGTGTACCAGGATAGCAGGTCCGATTTTCGATCGGATGTCTTGGTGGGTAATCTGCAGCATCTGCATACAATAAGCTGGGCAGCCGGACAAAGGCATGGCTAATTTTTGCCGAATACGGTTGCCAATGCAACCATCATCATCAGCTGCAACTGCAACTGCAATACTTGCCCCTTCTGCCCCTGGAAATAGCAGACGCAGTCCAACGGCCATTTTCATGCAAGAACGCGGAAGAATGACTCAAGAACTGTGCACAATAATTCGAAAATAAATGCAGAGGAAAGCAAAAAAGATAATACTAGGAGACAAACTCTAGCCGAAAATGGAAATACTCTTCAAAATATCTGTAAGTGTTGTAACAACACTTATAAAAATTCTTTATTAGGTAATCTAGAGATCTGATATATTTGATTAGTTTTAATCGCCTTTTAATCAAGAATTATTGAGTACAAAAGACTTTTCTGTTCCCTTTAATAAATGTTTATTATTTCTCTCTTTTTGAAAATAAGTCATCGCCATCTTAAATATAGTTTAAATATTTTTTTCTATTTAAGGTCACATATATTCAATATTTTACCTTAAATGAGTTTAAAAATGTTGAATATTAGGGATGTACTTCAATCATTTCTAAATAAAATGTGAATATAATGTTGTTATTTTTCTTTTAAGAAATCTATTGGAAACTCTTGTGGAAGGGCATGAAAAGCGCTTAGCGTTTGCATCTCCGCACATGCAATCCAACTTAGACGGATGTGGATACATCTAGTGTGGTTGTTGGTGCAATTGTAGCTGTTGCTGGTGTGGTGTTTGTTGGTCCAGACCTGTTCAACCACTGTTGAACTGGAAGGTTGTCTGCCGTCTGAAGTCTGCCACTGTTGCCAGGAGCGGATCGGAGACACCTTGGACGGAATGGAAATGGGAATGGGAATGGGCTTGGACGACTATCAATCAAAACATCAACGGCAGCGGCTAACCAGAGGCTGGGCTGGGGAAAATTCAGGGGGGGCTGCGACGGGGATGGTCTAAGTTTAGACCGCCGTTTGGCGATGTTCAGATTCAGATGCTCGGATGCTGATGTATCCATAGGAATAGACGAGCGACGACGCACACACATCTGTGCTGCGCCGCTGATCTAACTGTCTGCGACAAATTTTATTTCTGTAGCGGATCTGTCTGAGTCCCCCCTCCGTCTGCGACCCCCTCCCATCTGTTTTCCGCCCACCCCTGGCACACCGCCGCACCCACGGCCACGGGAAAATCTAATGTCACTTCGCAGCATATTTAAAAGCACATAAAGATGTTTTAGACAAAAATAAAAATCGAAACTTCTCTGCGTCTGCGTTTGTCTCCTTCGCCTGTTGAACTGACCGACGAGTCCGCAATGATTACACTGGGAAAAAGAAGTGAGAAGAAGGTTAATCCAAAATCCATTTATCTATAAACATCTCTGGTTAGTACAGCACACCAAAAACGTAGCTAAACGTTTAACGATCGTTTTAGGATCCTGAAAGTTTTCATTTCATTTTAGGATCCATTCAAAATAGGAATACACCAATACACTTAAATGTTATTATATTTGTCCCAATAGTTAATTAGGAATCTAATCACAAAAACATACTTTAAGACAGATTAAAGTATTGCTGGGCATTATTTTCGCCCAGTGTAGTGGGCTTCCTGCAGACGAAAACACGGTCGAAAATAGCTCGCAGACTGGCCAGACGACAACGCAGCGCGGATAATGTCGCAATGGTAATGGTGGCGCTACGCCAGCCAGGGCTTCCATTTCCTCTCTCGCCCAGGGCTGCATCACTTCCGGCGAAAGTCCTCGAGCTTGGGAGTTCGCAGTGCGTTGCCTACCCTCAGGCGCCATTTGGAGTTTGAGGGGTTTTGGTATTCCACCTATTACATGACTCATTGCGGGGACTTTGGCTGTCAGTGCAGCCCTGGCGCGCAGAAATTCGCACACAAATTAAACATTGTCTGGCCGTCTCTGACCGACATCGACATCAACGTCTCGCTGGCAATTCTTCGGCGACGCTTTCTTTGAGTAATGGACGAGGCGCGGAATACGCATACGCACGCGGACAGCAGAGGTCAAGTGAATAGGGTGAAAGTCGCAAAAAAAAGCCTGTTTTAAAGACACAGCTTTTTGGCGGACCATCATACTAATGTTTCTTTTCTTAAAATTTACTTCTTCCGAACCGAATATTAAAAAAACTCTTTTATATTTTCTCTTTATTTTTATTTTCAATAATGGGATTTAAGTTACGATCAAAAGATCATTTATGGGGATTTCAATGGTAACTATATTTTTTCTGGTAGAGCTCTTTTATTTTAATATCAAAAAACCCTTTTGCTTTGAACTAAACTGTATCCAAGTGCTGGTACCTCGTACCTTACCGCACTGCGACGGGAGATGAGACACGGACAGGGCTATATACATACCAGATCATTCCTAAATTCAAATTCAGATTCACTTGCCCACAAAATTAGAAATTTAAAGCGAGCAGCTGAGCGAAAGGCACAGCAACAATACAAAAAAGCAAAATTTTTTGGTGCTTGAAAGTGGCGAAAAAATCCTCTAGAAAAGGAAACTTAAAAGTTCCAAAATAAAATATAGAGAAATTAGAGTCAAACCTAAAAATGTAATAACTTTCAAGTATTTCATTTGGAAAACATTTTATTTACCAAGCAAAAATGTTTATTATTATAAGTGAGAAATGTTTTGGGTACGATTAGTTGAACGGTAGTGCTGTTTGCTAGACAGTTTATCTATCTGTAACATCACAAAGGAAAGTCCTACAAGGCAAGCAAATGTTCTGGCACTTCGTCCACTCCTCCCTTCCTCCCCCGCAAATGGTTATTTAAAGTTATTTAGGGGGCGCTTGGCCATAACTCCAAATGCTTTCTTATGTTTGTTTGCTGCGGGGAGCATTGTCTGCGAATGCCCATCGCCATCGCATTTCCGAGTGCCCCTCAGTCGGCGCAGGAATGCTTCGTAGGCGTCCCTCACTTTTGGATGATGGTTCGATGTTTCTTCAGATAGATATTGAACACCTAAAATGAAGCACTCTTCTGAATTAAACAAAAATTTTATCAATAGGAAAAAAAAATCAATACTTTTGGAACAAATAAATAAATGATGACTTATAGTTCGTCGAAAAAAATCTATTTTCAGTTTGTTCACTTATCAAACTAAAGTATGTTATAACAAAATGGTTTCCACTCAAAAACTCTCTTTTGCAAAGTGTCTTTTTTTTTTAAATAAATTTTAGAAGCATGACTGAGCACTTAATTGAGAACATAAATATTACCAGAAATCGATGGTTATGTTAAAAATAAACTTATATTATAAAGTATATGGTGACCCAAAACTTTTCCGAAATGCAGGGCGGCTGACTGACAGACAAAAATTCTGTTGTGGCACATATGCAACCTCCTCGTCCATTTGGGGGGATGGAATGCCCAAGAACAAGAACTATAACTATGGCCCAATCATTACAACTCAATCATCGGTCGAAAATAGCAAATTTCTTCCAAGATTCCATCCATTTCCCGTATTTTTGGAAGCCATTGAGGGGTCCGACTGCCGGAAGAGCCACCCCAGTCACACGGATCCACCCACCTCCTCCTCCATTGCCCAGATTCCCTCCAGAAACGCAGCGAGAAATCTCTCGGTGATTTAGGAACACTAAATCCGAGCCGACGTGGGGGAAAGAAAATACGCACAAAGGTGAAAATCCAGCAGGAATGTTCTATTTCGGGCTTACCGGAACTGAAAGACTTTCTATCTTTATTTACAGAGGGAGGATTCCGATGGATCTTCTGGGTGCTCTTCCGCGTGCAGCCTCTGAGGGAAAAGTTCTTTGGGAATATAATCTAGCGAAATGGTAAAAGAACTTGGTGTTTGTGGGTCAAAAAGAGTTTACGACATCCCAAAGGATTTTTTATAATATTTGTTTTCCTATAAGTCCATGTAATAATTTTGCACGAAAAAAATGTAAATTTGATCCGAAACATTGCAACAATTTGTCCAAATATGGAATGTAATACATCGTTGAACTCGTAATAAAATTCCCCATCGTTGAGCGTTTAAACCTGAAAAATTTAATTCTTGACCATTTTTTGCAAAATTAGGTGATGTTACCCCTTTTAAAAAATTGAAAATTTGACAACATTTTTTTTCTTTAAAATCATTCTAAAAAAGATGTGCCTTGTTAGCTAATGTAGTTAGCTGGACAAAACAGTCTTTTCTATGGCTGTAGCACTCATTTTAATAAAGTTACGACGAAAACAGACAAATAAAAAGTTCTGTTTTTTCCATAAATTCTACGTTCCAATTTTTCACAAAAAAACAACAGTATTTTGTCCGAAACATTTGAATCAGGGGTCCAAATATGGAATGCCATATACTGTTGAACTCGTAATAGAATTCCCCATCGTTAAGCGTTTAAACCTGGAAAATTTGACGAAATTTTATTTTGTTTAAATCAATCTAAAAAAGTGATGGCTCGTTAGGTGAGGTTGTAAGCTGGACAAAACAGTATTTTGCTTAGCTGTAGCACTTTATTTAACAGAATTACGACAAAAAAACTATGATAAAAACACCTGATTCTGGCATAACACGTACGTTCCAATTTGTCCCAAAAAAACTCAGTATTTTGTTCGACAAATTGCATCCAGTTGTCCAAATATGGAATATCATACATCGTCGAACTCGTGATGAAATTCCCAATCGATTAGTATTCAAACCTGAAAATCTTAGTTTTTGACCCTTTTTTGCTAAAAATCGTGATGTTACCCCTTACAAAAATTTTTAAAATTTGAGGAAATTTTATTTTATTTAAATCTGCCTAAAAAAGTTATGGCTCGTAAGCTTGGGTCAGTAGCTGGACAAAACAGTATTTTCTTTGGCTGTAGCACTAAATTTAATAAAGTTACGACGAATACAGACAAATAAAAATTTCTGATTTTATTATAAATCCCACGTTCCAATTTTTCACGAAAAATTAGCAGTATTTTGTCCGAAACATTTCAATAAGTGGTCCAAATATGGAATGTTATACACCGTTAAACTCGTAATAAAATTCCCCATCGTCAGGCGTTTAAACCTAAAAAATTAAATTTTTGACCATTTTTTGCAAAATTAGGTGATGTTACCCCTTTTAAAAAATTGAAAATTTGACAAAATTTTATTTTATTTAAATCATTCTAAAAAAGGTCTGCCTCGTTAGCTTATGTAGTTAGCTGGACAAAACACTCTTTTCTATGGCTGTAGCACTCAATTTAATAAAGTTACGACGAATACAGACAAATAAAAATTTTCTGATTTTATCATAAATCCTACCTTCCAATTTTTCACGAAAAATTAGCAGTATTTTGTCCGAAACATTTCAATAAGTGGTCCAAATATGGAATGTTATACACCGTTGAACTCGTAATAAAATTCCCTATCGATTAGCGTTTAAACCTCAAAAAATTATTTTTTGGCCATTTTTTGCAAAAATAGGTGATGTTACCCCTTTTAAAAAATTAAAAACTTTACAAAATTTTCATTGTTTTTAATCACCCTAAAAAAATCTGTCTCGTTACCTTAGGTAGTTAGCTACACGAAACAGTATTTTGTTCACCTGTTGCATTCTATTTAACAAAATTACGATTGAAAAGCAGAGGTACATATTTCATTTTGTACATTATCCTTTATCCCAATTTTGAGAAACTTTAAAACCAAACCACGCAAATCCATTCCTATTACAGCACAAGAAATAAGTTAATCTCTTTAAATGGCCTACATTAAAAATAGGTGACTTATTTATAGAAAATCTGAACACACCTATATACCAAATGACATTCTAGGAAAGTTAGAAAAAACAGAAGCAGCTTTGCCTGAAATATGCTGTTCAACATTTAATAATTTCTAAAGGACTTGATTATAATCCCGAAACCAATAGCACCACCCCAGAGTATCGTATTTCACTCCCAAATTCGGTTCCCATCGCGAACAGAATTCGAGTCCCAGGTATTTTGGCGAAGAGACCGAAAGGGCTAGGCCCGTTGATCTTCACCGATTTCCTGCCGATCGCACGTAATTGGGTGTCCCGCTAAAAAAGTCATAATCACCTGTCCATCCTTTATCACGGCAAACCCGTACAGACATCTTTGGGAAACCGACGCTAAATCTTAAAAAGTTTAAAACTCCATAAGCGATTTTTATGCACCAAGTGCATTCGGACCTGCCAGCAAAGAAAAACAGAACCAAACAGAAAAGAAAAGAGGAGAAAAGAAAAGAACAGAGCCGAACAGAACTGAAAGACCAAAGACAAATTCCTGCGTTTTTCCAGGAATTCACTCAATAAACTCAAACAAAACCCAAACATTTAACAAACGAGCCCCAGCCACATCCACATTCACATCCACATCCCAGCCAGACGACGACGAAGATGCTGACCAAGACGGAAGGCAGAGATGAAGATGGGGGCCTCGAGCGGGGGAATTTTGGATGGTGATGGGGGTACGAGGACGGGTCGACGACGATGCGAAGCGCTGAGCAAAACACAAAATAAACCAAAAAGCAGGCAAGGAATTTCAAACAAGAACACCATGGTGTTGTCGCACTCCACGAACTTGGAGCTGTGAATGTGAAACGGTCATAGACCAGAGTGGGTTTGGAAATACCCTTCATGGAGCAGAGTGCACTGCCATAAGATACCTTCTAACCTTAGGCTTAAAAACAAATAATGTTTCAACCAAAAAATAAATGGTAAATTACAGATTAAAGAAATAAATATAATCAAGTATTTATCCCTGATCATATCAATTCGCAACCTTTGTTTGAAAAATATATAACTCGATAGTAAAGTAGTAATTTTAGTTTCCTCCTGGACATACATATTCATTAAGTTCCCAGCTACTTAATGAACCCAGCTTTTGTGGAACTCAAAGCTTCCTAGGGCTGGGGTGTCAGTTTGTGGTGCAGTGCCGAAAAGGAGACGGCAGGAGCAGGAGCAGAATCAGGAGTTGGGGAGGTGGTTCGGGTTCGGGCCATTCTGGCCTTTCTAGTGGGCGAGCAGACGCAGGATGGCGGATCCCATGGCTGTTTGGCTGCATTCCAAGTCACACAGAACCAAACAGAATCGAACCCGAAGAGCAGAAAGAAGTGGAAGCAGTGGAAGCAGCCAAACCTAATCCGACGACGACCCAACTCCGATGAGATGGGGAGTTGTCGTGCCAGGAGAAACAGGAGAAGCTGCCAGCAGCACAAGGTTTAGCTCCTATGCACTGCTGAAAATGATAATACAGTTTAAACGTCATTCAAAGAATATTTTATTACGGCTAAAAAGAAAATTTTGTTGTTAAGAATATTACACTCTTAATGCAAAAACGATATACGATATATAGTACTGCCAAAAATATTATCTGATTTTTTACTTAACTAGTAAACAAGAAAACTATTTTTTAATTGAATGAATGAACATAATAGAATAATAGATTCAAGATTTGTTTTTCGCTTATTTTAACTTTTTTAACGGTTATGGTACCAAAATAAATACTTTACCTCAGTGTAATGGCGCTGGCGCTGCTGGTGCGGTACTTTTGCTGCTGCTGCTGCTTCTAAAAACTCCTCTAAAAATTATTTATTAACATGGTAGAAATTCGCAAACAGGTTAAAACGACCAATCAAAGCGGCAAGAACAACAACAGCAAAAGCGGCGGCAGCCAAAGACCCAAAGTGCAGATAATATTAAAAGGCAGTCAGGCAGCCAGCCGGAATTGCACGAGGATCGAGGGATCGGGGATTGGGGCTTCTGGGGGCGGAGGAGGTGGAGGAGGAGGAGGAGCTTTGGCCCCGACTTCCAAGCCAGACACATTTCGAAAAGGGCCAACACGAAATTCCAGGGGAGTCGTTGACTCGCCTTCGGTTGGTTACTTTTCTTGGGAAAGTTTTTGTTGAAAGTTGGACAGTAACTGAATTTTGCCGTTTTTGTTATTTGTTTTTTAGTTCGCTTTTCTGCAACCGCCAGAGAGCCAACTTGGGTTGTTGCGATAAGGTGGCATAGAGCAGAGCATACAAGCTTTGTAGGTGGTAATCAGTTGCACCTCCGAAAAGGTCTGCAAAGGGGCTGGTGAAATTTCGAAGTGCACCGCACAACTTGCATTATTTTAGGCCTTAAAATTTTGTAACATTTTTAACAGTGCTAGGAGTGGTCTACTTTTAAATACAGCGCTAAACGGTTTTTATTAAAATTTTGTGAGATAACAAACGTAAGCCCCTTTTGTATTATTACTACATTCTTAAATATTGTTTTCTGGTTTCTTCGAGAGTTGAATGCTTATATATTCAGGGCTTTCCCCAAACTGATCAAAAGGTAATAAGATCGGTTCAAAAACTTAATCAGAGAGTAAATTCTTTAAACATTCTTGTACATAAGACTGATTGTCGCAGAATTATTTGATAAATGTATTTAATGGCATTATCCATTTCTTCGGCTGGAATTTGTTTTGGGAAATTCCCTTTCCTGGAAGTCGCAGTTATGCCATTCCATACGAAATGCACCAATCCTGACCAACGAACAAAAAAATACAAACGAACACAAAACAGACAATTTGACAAGCGGAATGCATGGAATTTCAGGATCCCATCCCCATCCCTTCCATAGAAATTCGACCTCAAGTCGGCTTGTGCTCAACGCTAAATTGGCGTTTTATTTATAGCCAAATCGAATGGAATTGGCAAATGCCAATGTAGACAGGCGCAGCGAAATCAGTTTACCAAATTCTTGTTTTTAAAAATTAATAAATACTTTTAGGACTAGAGTGCGCTTAAAGGAACAACTAATGTATATCCTTAAATGAAATTTAAATAATTTGCTTTTCTTTGAGTCTTTATTTTTAATTTGATTAAAAAAACGTTAATTTAAGCTTAAGTATCTGTTATTTAAATATGCCGCCAACTGGTTTTTAAACGTGGCGCCATCTGTTAGTTTGTAACAGAGAACTATAAGCGGAGACTCTCACCCCTGGAACAGGTACCTCTCAAATCCGCTAGATGGAGCCAGTATGCTGCTTGATTACTTTTTAATTATACGTTTCTCAACACTGGATACAGCGCGCCATTTTTAAACGAAGCAAGCAAATAGAAGAGGAAAGCGATCTTATCTTGCATAGTAGTGTATGCATAGCGGCGTAATCAGTGCAGATTGGAAATCGATACTAATTTGACGGCATGAAACCAGAGATAACCGCATATAGATACTGAGCCATTTTAATCCGGCTTGGCACACACACCGATGCTCCGAGGTACGATTCGAATCTGTATCTATTCGATTCGAGCACACAGAAGCCCTCGGAATCGGATTCTGAGGGGCAACAGCAGCTGGTGATAACGAGGCGGATTGGCTTTCATACAAAACAATAACAGAATGGCCGCAGCTCACGTAGTACGCCGGCATATTTCAGTCGCTAACGTTCGACGAGAGTCGAAAGTCAAGAGTTCTTGAGCGGATTTTGAACGATTCTAGGTGCAGATACATTGCTCAACGCGGAGATGCGCAGCCTCAGCCGTTTTCGACTCATCACCTTCGATGTGACCAACACACTGCTCCAGTTCCGAACCACTCCCGGCAAGCAGTATGGAGAAATTGGAGCCCTCTTCGGAGCCAGATGCGACAACAATGAGCTGGCCAAGAACTTCAAGGCCAACTGGTGGGCTGAATAATATGCTATTTAATCTGGATGGTTCTAAGACATATTTTTAGGTACAAGATGAACAGGGATTATCCAAACTTTGGACGCAGTACTCCCCAGATGGAGTGGCAAAATTGGTGGCGTAAGCTGATAGAAGGTGAGTTGAGTGCTCGGTGAGTGTTTGTCTGGTCGGTGATAAACAATCCGGCATGTTCCAAAGTGCATTTGACACAATCTTTGCTAAATGTGATTAGTATCCGCAACTCCTCTCAACCAAAAATGGAAAACAAAACCTTTTTGTAGGTATAAACTGTTTTTTTACTCTCAAAGTACTGACAGTATTAATATTAAAGCGTATTGAAAACAAATTTTAGTAAACTTAAGAGATTATTGTTTCAGATTTCAATAATGTTAAACAAAAAATACACCTGAAAATTAAAGACTAATGAAGTAGGCTCTTTTAATTCAAAGATCACACAAGCGTCAAACGTGTATCTGCTAATTTATTGATAATTAGAACCGTCATAAACTCTATTTCAAACATTCAAAAGGTTCTACAGTGACCATTCAAATATATATTTTGGTAAACTATTCACCTTCTAACACTACACACCTACAGGTACTTTTTCGGAGAGTGGAGCCGCCATTCCAGACGAGAAGCTGCAGAACTTTTCCAACCATCTAATTGAGCTGTACAAGACCTCCATTTGCTGGCAGCCATGCAACGGCAGCGTGGAGCTCCTTCAGCAACTCCGCAAGGATCTAAAGCCGGAGAAGTGCAAGTTGGGGGTGATAGCCAACTTCGATCCTCGGCTGACGGCGCTGCTCCAGAACACCAAGTTGGATCAGTACCTAGACTTTGCGGTCAACTCGTACGAGGTGAAAGCCGAAAAGCCCGATCCACAGATCTTCCACAAGGCGATGGAGAAGGCGGGCCTAAATAACCTCCGGCCGGAGGAATGTCTGCACATCGGAGATGGGCCCACCACGGACTACTTGGCCGCCAAGGAGCTGGGCTGGCACTCGGCGCTGGTGCACGAGAAGAGCTACGCCTATCTGGTCAAGAAGTACGGCGAGGACATCGACAGGGATCACGTCTTCCCCAGCCTGTATGACTTCCACAAAAAGATCACGGACGGCGTGGTGGTCTGGTGAACGATTGTACATATATTAAAGTAGTAAAGCCAAATAACATCACTTCTCGTGATTCCGGAACCGTCGGTAGACATGTTTTCTACACCTAAAAGGGAATTGAACAAATTAGATATGGGAGTACTGCCTAAATGTGTTCACCCGAACATCCATAGCTCGAAGTTCTCTTACCTAAAGTTGCTATTACTCGGACTAGTTTTAGAGAGTATAATCAGGATGGTTTTCAAGTTCACTCCCTGTTTGTTTACACGGTAAGCAACAAGAGAAATTAACATCTGGCCGATACACAAATATGTCATATGTTTTTTAGCACAATCGATAACACGGGGTGCGATTTAAATGCATTCGATTTGTTCACGTAAACGTAATGCGACCTCGTAAAAGGTTTGCTGGATACTAAGAACGATTTTGCTTGCGTATTATTTCTACTGGGTTAAATAGTTTTCTTGGATTATTTTCCAGCTGTTTAATAAAAATAAAAAGAATTCACAAATTTAGGTTTAAAATGTTATGAATTAAAATTATTCAACTAGGAAAGAACATACGTTCATTAAATTTATAAAGATAAGCTAAAAACTTGATATGCAATTTTAAAATAAAATGCACAAATAGCGACGAAAATTATAAAACCCATTATATTTGTCTGGTTTTAGTAATGGTTTCCTGTATTACATAGATAATTTATATTTCAAAATTTAACATGTTTATAAATTTGTACTCAGTATTGTTTTCCAATCTGTATCAAGTGGTAAGTAGGCTCATAACCAAACAACGGACTATCTGTAATTGGGGGTACAATAGGACTAGGCTCTCTTATCTTATCCTGCCAAACATTTGTTTATATTTGGCATGAAAAAAATCGTTATCACTAAAAAAGTACTTCAGTTGATTAGATCAATTAGATCAGGTGAGTGCGGATTCGTAGCCTTTCATAGGTTACAATAGTCAAGAATAGAAAGTAATGGTAGTTTTCTAGAGATCCTAAAAATAAATGGGATCCCAGCGATGGAATGGATTAGAGTAAAGACTGTAGGGGTTTGTAGAGAGCGTATGCATAACAAACCTTATATGTTGTATGAGAATATAAGATGTTTCGTTTTATTTTTTCAAGACTATCAATATTTTCTTTTGATGAACTGTTTTCAAAACCCGAGAACCCATAAAAAGGTTAGACCCAAGTAAAAGGTATCTTATGGTCGGGACACAATGGAATTTTGTATGATTTCTCTGACTTTAAAGAGCAGAGTCTCTATAGCACCAACAGTCTCTCTTTTTCCCTCTCTTTATACCGCTGTTCATCCACTTTTAAGTGGCGCAGCTCCATCGGACTTGGCGTCATTCGCTCACCACCCACGGAACCGCACGGAACGCGATATAGCGGCAAAGATACAGTATACCTCGGCACTTTATCACTAACTAAAAACAAAAACATTCTAAACGCGAATGCTTCTGTGGATGCGGATTTCAGTTCAGTTTATTTACCCATTTGCGTGCGACACTCGCCTTGGGCCAAGTTTGAGTTATTTTCCCAGTTTGCATTATTGTAATTAGCCTGTCCGTCGAGACTGCGATACGAAACGAATAATAAATAAAACGCAGAATAATTGCGCTGGAAATAATGTGCGCGGCTAAGAGCGCTAACGTAACGGCTAAATAATAGTAGAAAGTTTTATTGTTATCTTTTCTTCTGAGCCGCAGCTGCCAAAAACCGAATAACCATAGCAAGAGCTTCGAAATTTTGCGTGTGAACAGAAAAGAAATCCGCTTTCGGCCCCATATCTTTCCATTTGTGCGGTTGTGTGTGCATAGCTTACAAAATTGGCAACGTTTAGACGCTGCTCAGTCAATAAACCCATATAAATAAGATACGCCATAGTCAAAATACAAATAACGCCAAAAAACAGCACCAAAATGTCCGGCCCACTGCCCGAAATCAGCGAAGAACAACGTGCGATGTTGGAGCAGGTGAGAATCTAGAAGTAGCGGTCGGGAATTTCTCTTGGTGTATCTTAAGGGGAAACATGATGGTAATTAAATATAAAGCTCCCCAATAATAATGTTTGCCCACTATGCTGGACCCCACGGAATCACTTCCTTGTAAATCAACTCTCTCCAGGGAGAACATTAAAGTAATGAATTTATTTGGTGGCATGAAAAAAATGAATTACATTCTTATGAAAACTCTTCCAAAGAGTTTCGAAAAGAGAAACAGTTTAGATGACTAATTGCATTTGTTTTTCAAATAATTATTTTAGAATTATAAATTTACTTTCATTGTATTAAATTTAAATGAATTTCGCAAAATATTCAAGTTCAACTGCTCGTTTGAAACTAGTTTGTAATCGAGAATTTCCCAATGATTGGGACACCCAGATTTGTGGAATATTCTAAACAAACTAAAACAGAACAGTCATCGTGCGATCAGCGAACCATTGATGCCTGGTTATGGAAATCAGCAATTGCTCGCTTGACTTCCTCTTCGGATATTAGCACATTTTACCAGGCTCCGAACCACTGTTTTTAAACTGCTAGCAGCTGCTAAAATAGAAACAACTGCAACTTATTTCGGCAGATTTATTCTCATGTCGGAGCTGTCTCAAATATGTGAGTTGTTAATGGGAAATTACTTTAAAATGCAATGGAAAAAATTTTGTAAGGAGAATTTTTTCGCTTCACTTGTATTTTGGATTATTTTCATGATGCAATCTTTTAATTTCGGTTAAAGAATTTTATACTAGTTGAAGCATATATTTTTATGTAATCATCATCAATCATAAAAAGTCGTCGCAATGAAACCCCGAAACCCCACCAACTCCACCACTGTATCCGCCTGTATCTGCAGTTGCGCATTGTTGACTTCATGTGTTCTTGGTTGGCACACTAAAAACCGCTTGCGAAATCGAAAACTCAGCTGAAGTCGACTAGTGACACACAAACCGAACAGTTCAATAATATGTAAATAAATAAAATGTATAAAAAATGGACAAATGCGGAAAATGCAAAAAAGACATTATTTTTAATGGGCCGAAAAGGACCCTTGGAAGTAAATAAAATGTGAAGTATGCAAATGAGGAAAATGCATTAAGAGTCATTGTGTATAATGGGCGAATTTAGAGCCGACCCTTGCAAATAAATCAGATATTAAGTGGGCAAATGTGGAAAAGGCATTATAAAAACAAGCGGATTAAAACCGGACCCCTGCCCTTTTTTAATTGCCCGGGATGATAAGTGTGACTGGCATTTCATGGCACAATGACTGCGATTACCAGTATAAATATGCATAAACTGGTGGCTAATGATAAACGCCAATGAGTCGTTAAGTGGAGAGCATTGATCCAGAACGAAATCACTCAGGGATCGGACCTTAGACCTCTGGAAATCTACTTTAGAAATCGTGCAGTATTTGCATAAATCATCTACAGCAACAGGTTTGGCCCAGGTGTCTTTGAAATGCCAAAATTTCGAAAAGGCGAGGAGAAACTCCGTAGAGCTACTTGGATTTCGGGCGAAATGTAAAATGAATGCAACATTTACAAGCGTTAAATGCTGCTAAGTGCTAATCGAGCTGCAGTCTGAAATATTAAGTGACCACGCCGAATATAGACTCGATTGGAATCGCTCAATGGGTATTTGCCGTTTTGTCTGCCTCAGAAACGCAGTCAAAGTCAGGCCAAGAAGTGGAGGAGCAAAGCAAGGTGGCCGATAGGCCAATACCAGCCCAAAACCCAGTTATGTGGCCAACGAAATGAGGAAGTACGCCGCAGAAGCCAACAGAACTCGGCGCTAATGACAACCAAAGTCGGGTATTAGCCACACCACCCGGGGCCAATAACAAAGCTTGGTCTTTGGCCAAGTTTGCAGCCAAAGCGGCGAAAAACGAAAACTGAATAAAAGAAGCGGTTAGTGAGACGGCCTCGTTATTGAATTCCAAGTGGTTTTGGCCAGAGCCGAGTGACGCAGTGACTCAGCAGTTGGCAAACAACCTAGACGCGAGTCAATTAAATGATTGAAATGGTGCTAAATATGCACTTGATCGAATGCAAATCGAAGTACGTGTTGTTTACCCAGCAAATAAGTTAATGAAAGGCCTCAAACAAAGGCGTTAAATGGCCGATAAAACGATTGCACCTGAAGAATGAAGACTTTGCTGTCAACTTTCGTTAACCACATCCGAGTTTGGTAGCCGGGACAAGGCCAATACAAATTAACAGCAATAAAGACAACAAAGGCCAATATGTAGTCTATCTACCAAACTCAATAAACGTTATCGTTTGGAGATAGGAAAATTACCCGCTAACCTCTTCAAACATGCTGTTAAAAACCGTACCCTGTTCGGCCTTCAGTAAATAAATCATCGAAACAAATTGGATTGTAGATCAGATTAAAAAACTTTTTTCTCAGCTGCTCTGAGTTGAAACCAGATTGCTACATCCATACAAGTTAGAGGGCAACAAAATCAATGCAATAACATTTATCGCAAAATCTACGTAATTCCAGCTCGAAATCAACTATCTCAATATATTTTGTTTACTCAACACAAAACATTAAATAGATAAAATTATCTATTAGGCTTTGCGATGTGAAAGTTTATTTACGATATGTTTTAAATTATATAAACCCCACATAATGATTTATCAGCTTTGTCTTTGAGTTTGATGAATCATAATTAAATTTGCCTAATTTATTGTTAAGGTTTCTGAAAGCAGTATATTTAATACACTTACAGTTCCGCAAGCAAATGAATGATGCACTTATTGGAACCCACGATGACTACTTTTTGGTCCGCTGGCTCAGAGGTGAGTTTTCGTAGAAAAAGGATGTATAAATAGAAGGATGCATAAACCATTTTTTCCTCTTTTCAAAAACAGCTCGGAAATGGAATTTGGAGGCGGCGGAGAAAATGCTGAGAGCTGTAAGCACAAATAGAATTAAACATAAATTGTATAAGCATGTCAATCGATACCTCTTAGAGTTTGAAAACCCGCGCCATGTGGAACGTGGACAACATCGAGAAGTGGGATCCACCCAAGGCGCTGCAGGAGTATCTGCCCTACGGCCTCATGGGCTACGACAACGAAGGATCACCAGGTATTTAGTCTAATCGCTAAAAAACTGATCGAAAACTAAGCTAATCTTCTTGATTTCCTAGTGCTAGTATGCCCATTCGCCAACTTCGACATGTGGGGCATGATGCACTGCGTCACACGATTTGAGTTCCAAAAGTACCTGGTCCTGCTGCTTGAGCGCTTCATGAAGATCGCCTACGAGCAGAGCCAAAAGCACGGATGGCGAGCGCGCCAGCTGGTTGTATTCTTCGACATGCAGGATGTGAATCTGAAGCAGTACGCCTGGCGACCGGCGGCAGAGTGCGTGATATCTACGGTGAAGCAGTACGAGGCCAACTTCCCGGAGCTGCTCAAGATGTGCTACATCATCAACGCGCCCAAGCTCTTTTCGGTGGCCTTCAACATTGTAAAGAAGTTCCTGGACGAGAACACCACCAGCAAGATCGTGATCTACAAATCCGGCGTAGATCGCTGGCAGCAGCAGCTCTTCTCGCATGTGAACCGAAAGGCATTCCCGAAGGCCTGGGGCGGTGAGATGGTGGACAGGAACGGCGATCCCCAGTGCAAGGCCCTGATGATCTGGGGCGGCAAGCTGCCGGAGGAGCTGTACATTGACCAGAACAGCCAGCAGAGCGACAGGGACTTTGTGGAGGCCCAGGTTGCAAAGGGCGACAAGTTGAAGCTGCACTTCAAGGTCAACCTGGACGAGCAGAAGATCCTTTCCTGGGAGTTCCGCACCTTCGACTACGACATCAAGTTCGGCATCTACAGCGTCGACGACAAGACGGGCGAGAAGCGCAGCGAGGTGCCCCTTGGGACGGTGTACTCCAACGAGATGGACGAGATCGGTTACATCTCCACGCGACCCAACACCACCTGTGAGTGAACTACTCCTCTCCCTTATATCCTTAATTAACCGAATGTCTTAATCCTCTCCAGACACGGTGGTGTTCGACAACTCCGCCAGCTACCTGCGCAGCAAGAAGCTGCGGTACTGGGTTGACCTCATCTCCGAGGAGGAGGAGGGCATTTCCGAGCTGACCAGCCAAATGGACAGCACTCAGATTGCAAGTCAGCAGTGAACGGGATTGAGTCCCCGTGCGAGAAGCAACCAAGCCAAAAACCAACGGGGGTAGATAGATTATTAGGTAGGCGACAACACGAACTAACCTCGGTGCATTAAAGTCACAAAGCACATCTGCCAGA